ACAAATGGAACCCCATAGAAGAGGGATAAGGAGCAGATCATCAGGTTAGTAATACAGTTGCACAACAGCTCAAATGTGACGTTTAAAAAAAACAGCCGTGGGCTCCAGAGCCTTAGTCTGACTGATGTTGTGAAAGTTTTGCTTCAGCACAACACTTAATGAGCAAAACTGTACTAAAGTATTTTTGTTTAGGCTAAAAGTTGGAGACTAAAAAAATTCTCTTCAACTGTAAAGCATTAGAGAAAGGAAAATTGTAAATGTAATTCTGCACTTACTGTAAACAGAGTTCATAAAGCAACAGTACATAACATTATGTTCAACTTTGCTGTATACATTTTGTTCTATGCAGTGGTTTGTGGTTTAGATGAATGGTTATTCATTTTTATTACACCTGTACGACCCAGCATTGTAATAGTACATCTCTAATAGGGCTGTAGGATAATATCGATATCGCGATATATATATCGATATTTTCTTTCCTAGAAAAAAATCGATATTCATCCGCAAGTATCGTAACATCCAACTGTCATCTTGCTCACTCACTGCTTGCTTCGCGGGAGAGTGATTAGGTCATCAGGCTTAGAGTGATTCCTTCAGATGTTAAGTGTCAGGGTTAAAAGGTATCAAACTATTCAGAGCAGGTGCTTGGTGCACTTTATTTACTTTACAAATCTATGTAAGCTACAGTTTGTACTGTTTCAATTAAAAGAAACATGTTTTCTCACCACTACTTTGATTAATTTTGTCCAGCTGTCGACTTTAAGTCTGTGTCCATGTCCAACCAGAGCCATGTATTGTGTAGTTGGTGCTTTTAATCAGTTTTCAGTTAAATTAATTCAATCCAACTCTATAACAGTCACCAAAATCACTCTGTCCCTCTAAAATCTTTCAGAAAATCGCAAAAGTGTATTGAATTGTATCGTTTGACGAATATTGCAATATATATCGTATCGTGGACAGAATATCGTGTATCGTATCATATCGTAAGATTACTGTATCACTACAGCCCTAATCTCTAATGTAAAAATGTTGACTTTTATTTAGTTTCTTCCTCCAAACTTATAAACTGAACCCTGTTGTTCAGTCTTGTAATGCTACTGGATAGGGAATTTGCATAGAATTTCTCCAAACGGGATCATAAACAATAGGGTTTAGTTTATTAAGAAAAATTACGCAAAGACAATTTTTGCTACTGCTACAGCCGTAACACAGGTGTCATAATACTGGTCTCAGCAATTAATTACCTGAACACAGGTGCTCATTTAAACTTAGCTCAGCTGGTCTGTAAACATTACTTAGCAACTTAGCTTGCAAAAACAGTCTTCAACTTTGTAAAGCAGAGTTGAACTACCAAAATACGCTGATAAAATGCCGTAAACAAGACTTACTCGATGATTTCTGCTGCGGCTTTGGTCAGGTAGTCTACGTCAAAGACTTTTTTGAGAGCCAACCATCGCAGCTCCGGTTCTTCGTCCAGGTTGATGACAACCGTGGGAGGAGAAGGAAGCTGAGCCCGCAGGGAGCCGCAGAGTCCGAGCAGCAGCAGCAGAAGCTCCGCGGTCCGGAACATCCTG